CCCCCCTCTGCCCCTAATCTACACCTGTATCAAAGAACTTCAGAAAATCAGAAAAATTCTCACCTTCCCCACCAATCACATCCATTGCACATTGTGTATTCCCATTTTGAAATTCCTGCACAAGTAAGACGATGATGTCATGGCGCCGTCAATTGACCGAGGTACGACGCATAGGCACGTGGACGAGTTTGCACACTCACTCATGGATAACGTCAACGGCCATCGACCGACAATCTGAGCACTTTAATCTACCAAGTAGATTGAATTTATTATCTATTATGTTAACCGATACCTTCATTTGATTCTCCACCTCGATACAGTAACTATTCTTATGACAATAGCACAGTTTTGGAGATGGTGACGCAGTATCATTCGGACAGGCTCTGATCTGAAACTCGGATTCCGGAGCGCAGTTCCAGTAGAACTGCTTAGTGAGAAACGAAGAGCACAGCTGAAACATCAGATTTAAATTCAAGATGCTTGGAGTCAGTAGAGTGAAACCAACTGAGGTGGTTTGTCTGCTGTCAAGCTTTGTAGTTCAATTTGACAGTGCCGCCTAGACACTATTCGTACTAATCGCGTGGGCGGAGTCAGGCCTACTGTTGCGCTTCTCCTTACTCATTGGCACTCTACTCCTCGTTGCTCTCTGAGGAAGGAAGCGAGATCGATGAGCAATAGAAGGCCTGACTCCGCCTCACGCGAACAGAGTGAATCGTGATTGTGAGTCTTCACTTTGAAATTCAAACAGTGACTTCCACTTTAGATCAGAGAAAAAACCCGCGATTGTATACTGTTGATGTGGCGCTCACTTATAAACCCATTGTCGTTACATACCTACCAGGGAAGAAAAAAGTGAAAAAAAACCGTGGAGGAAACGATAAGTAAAAACCTTAAGTAAAAACTCGGTAGCTTTCTGGACGAGTTTTCCGTGCCTGTTCGTGTCATGCCAGCAAAGCGATATCCTGTCACCTCTAGCTCAATAATCGTTTCTCCGCGTCATTAAGTATAATACTGCTACCACCTAGGGAAAAAGAAAACAGAAAATGTGCTGCGAAACTGAACCTGTGACAGCAAATAGCCCTTCAGTTTCGGTGGGCCGGGCAACTAGGGAGGGGTTAGAGCTGCCACTTATGAGAGCCACAGCGCCTTCGTCACCTACTGTGGAGCTGCGAGTGGGATAAACCTAGAGACTGAGGGCCAGACTACTCGTACAGGGAGGGAAGCCTACGAGTTGCTCGACCGCGGGGACTGTCTTTAAACATCGATTAGTTTCACACACAACAGTGATAAAATGAATAGGGAAAGGTTACAGTACACATCGTTCATCGCCTTCTGGGTCCGCCGTATAATGATCATTGTCTTGTCTACAGTACACGTGAGCAGGGCGAGTTGAGGGCACATTGACTGACCTGGATAAAGTAAGTCTCGTGTGGAGAAGTATGTCAATAAATGAAGTGAAGTTACCGTTTTTGGCGCTCGTCCTGCTGTAGACTTGCTCCGTTTGACCGACCGATGGCTAATTCGAAAGATTCCAGCTAAAATACTCTGGTGGAGCACGAAGTCTAACAATGCTGAGAGTGAACTGCGTTCATAGTTCGCGACTCTTTTGCCGATAGAATGTGCAATCTCTTGGTGGCGCCTTCAATCCAGGGTTACTAGAACTCGATCCCTATCCCACAATCGCGTAGACAAGAGAGTGCAGAGAAAAGCAGAAAGGTGCGACAATTTTCTGTTTTTCTCTGCACTCTCTCGTCTCTGGCGTTGTATGGCCACTGTGAACTTGCACATCTCAGCTGCTGGAGCAGCACACAGTCTTGTTCACGAGTGTTCACTGTGTCAGAGAAGCTAGGTAGCGCGCTGCCAGCTCGTTCTCCACCAATAGTTGCTGTTTACCCCTAAAACAAGTGGTGAAGAAGTGAGTGGCTCCGTGTGAAAAGCAGCATCTCCTCCCCCCCCCCCTTCCTCTCCCTAACCCACTCTGGAGTTCCTTTCCTTCGAAAAAGCCCATCTCTTGGTTCTCCACATACTTTTTGCACCTTTCTCACCAGCCGATGCCACGACTTCCTGCCCGCTTCATACGACTCAACACTTCACTGAGATTGACAGGAGGAACTGATTTTGACCTGAGGCGATGACAAGCGCGCTCCACAGCAAATCGCGAAATCGTCAAATCGCTTTTGTAGCTCGATCGCCGGTGTCGTAAACTATGAGCGGAGCCCTACGAACGACCAAAGGATGAACTCACGGCGCTTCTAATTGGAGGCGATTCACGAGCTAGAGAATTTTTGTACGGA